TTTTATATATAAATATAGAAAAATATAAATATGTATACAAATATACATATAAATATAGAAATATATATCAATAAATTTGACTTTAGGCAATTTCAGAACCTGAACGTACGCATATTTTTTTGAGTGTATTTTTGTATGTACAGTAGAATCCCGATAATTCGAAATGGGAAGGGGATACGATTTTGTTTGATTTACAAAGAAATTCAAAATTTCAAGAATTATTGAGAACGAATTTCTTTTAAGGGGATATAATTTTTGTTTTTATTTTTTTTTTTTCGATTTATCGTTATATTCGATTTAGCGGGGTACGAATTATCGAGACTCGACTGTATATAAATGAATAAATGTATGTATAAATGAAAATACAATATATATGTTTATATATAATTTTTCTAGTTATGAAACAATTTAATAATTTTCATGTATATCCCTATGAAAATACATTATTATTTTTCAAAGTCTGTTTAAAATTTGATTATTTTTATAAATTTCATATGTTTATTTGCATTTAAGTTGAACAAAAAAAAAAATAAATAAATAAATAAAAAAAATACGAATATTAATGTGCCACGCTGTATATACGAATACCCTACTTAAATGTCTTATCTAACAAATTTCATTATTCTCATTATTTCACTGCTTGAATTTATCTTAGGCAAACATGGAATATTTCAGTATGATAATAATGATTATCCAAGATTAACTTAAAACGTAGCAAATCCTCTATTCATCACCTTTTTCATACGAATGACTCATTTCAAAAGTAAATAAACCAAGAGCCAGCTTCGGTTACCCCTTCAATCAGTTATCGTTACATTGTGTGCTGGCCAACGTGAACAACTTTATTTACACGATTTTGGGGCCACCATAAAAGGCGCCTATTTATTCGTACAATGACATAAATCGCGCACTCGGCGCACAAAAAAATTAAGAAATTAGCCCAATGGACAGGCAACAAACTGAGCCGCAAGTAAAGGTAAATTACGAGCATGCCCAGGCCTCTGGCCAGGCACGTAGACAGACTCCGACTCCGACTCCGTCTTCGACTCGTATTCAAGACAAAAGTATTCAAGACAGACCCCAAAAACGAGGCACTCCACATTCTCATCATTATCACCATCGCCATCATCATCATCGAGTTGTAATGACTAAATCTTCTGTGTGGGCGTCTCGGACCCAGACCAAGACGTCGTCGTCTGCCCAGCATACGAAATGAAGCCGGCTTGTGAATGAATTTCCGACCGACAGCCAAGAGACAGCCACAGAGCAAAGGAGGCAGCAAAAAACAAACTGAAATTAAAACTGGTTGCCCGACTAATACATATGTCCGACTGATACATACATCATCCAATTTAGCCACATATGCTGGAGCTGTGGGGCTGACGCTGTGTCTGGGTCGGTATTTGTAGTGGGTAGGCGTTTGTTGCAGCTGCAGCTAATGAAGCTAACGGTGCAATGCCAGCCACAGCAAAACAGCACAAACCACAAGAGCAACAACAACAACAACAAATGGCCGTAAAGTGCAAAAATTTAATTATGCTAAACACGTGCAACCGCTGCACAATCTATTTTCCATGCCGCAACTCGAGTGACAGCAGCAGGAAAATAAATTCAGAAAATGCTACAATAATTTATTTTTATTGATACCTAGGGGAAATGGTCTATGTAAGCAGTCGATGGTAATTTATTTATTTAATTTATTTTTTTGTTTTTTTTTTTTTTTTTTTTAAGAAAATTTGAGCAAATGAAAGAAATCTGAATTTGTATGGCAAATTATACTAATTAGCTCAAAGGCAGGTCGTCACTGTTTAGGACCTAAAGTTCCCTTTTTTATCATTCTATGGCAGTGAATTATTATTTATCATTTATTAAGATTTATTTTCTAATTTACTAAAGAATAAARATATGCTATATTATCATTATATTATATTCTTATATCATGGTTTTCTTGGAATTTTAAGAGACTTGCGGCTTTCTTCTTCTGATATGAAGATTCACAAAAATCGCAACAGCGTTCTACTTAACAGTGCCTTTAATCAGTAAGTAATCAGAGGAACAGCGAGCATAGGGAGAGCAAACAGAAGGAGGACGAGCAAAGGCAGCTCCGAGAGCTCAAAGAGCGATAATTACTTCCTTAAAAGTTCCATTACATACATATATATAATATACAAATGAGCTAATGAATTAGGAATTTTAGGAGCAGCCGAGAAGGAAGAAATATATAATAATTTAATGTAAACAAATACTTTGATCAATGTAGATGTGGATTATCTAAATTGTGCGCAAATCAGAGTTTATGGCACTTTAATCAATAGTCAATAAAATTAATGACTCAGAGTATACCATGAATATATAAGAATATCATATCTTTTACAAGAAATCTGAATGCTAATGTTCTTATATGAAAGCTGATATAAAGTCGGGCTTACATATATATAAAAGATATAAAGAGTAATAATAATAAATAGGCTACACAGACTATACAGCATAGTCGTAGACATCACATAATTCTTGGCTTCTTTTAAATCATTATTTAATGGCACTATGTTTACTTCATATCAACTCTTAAATAATATAAATAAAAAACTTCACACCATAAATAAATTTCGATGGCAATAGTTAAGATATAGTTATAGTCGCCCAACTATAAAGCTGATTGGTCAACCAAAAGCCAAATCAGACGATGATAAATATCCTACTCACTTTTATAAGCTCACATAACAGCTAAAAGAGCCTTTAAAGACCTTTTAAAAAATAAATAAATATCCCATAACGATCTTAGTATCCCTCATGATCAGTCAATTTAAATGACTCTCTCTTTTTTTAGTGCATCAGCTATTTTTGCTTAATTGCTGCAGTTGTTCGCCCAGGTCTTCGCTTTGATTTGCTTTAAAGTGCTCCCCACGGAACGACTCGGTGGGCCAATTTATGGTTATTTTCTATGCATTTGATTATCCAATTAATGCACGGCTTCTTGGCTCTGGTTGCTATTATTATTTTCTTGATTATGATGCTCCACGTGTCATAAATTTTATGTGTAAACGCAACGAAATGAAAATGTAAATAAAAACGAAAAGAAAACAAAAATACTAAAAATATTGTAAACTGCGTGTGGCTAATGAGCCCAATTTGGCACAGACTTGGCTCGTACTCGGCTGGCATATACATTTCGTATTTAATTGCCTCAATTAACGCCTGCAAACCGGCCACGCCCACACACCCAAAAACGTCAACTCACATCCGCTGTCATAAGTTGGCCATAGCCAAATGAATGAATGAATAATGAATAAACTCCATCTATATCAATCAGAGCCCAAAAACCGGCTCTGGCTCTCGGGCTTAATTAAAAGTCAAATGCGAATTTTTGTGCAGCCAAATTTTGTGGAATTGCAAATATCGCCTGGAGGCGTAATCGACTCTGACTGTCGTCAAAGCCAGCTGACTCTCTTTCTCGACACTGCCAATGGACACTGGAAAGTGCCTTGATTCCTGCATGTGCAGCCGATGCCAATCTGAGAGCTGCAGTTGCCGCTGCGGCTGCTGTTGTTGTTGCTGTTGCTGCTGCTGCGACAAATTGGCGCAGAGCAAAGACATTGCCATTTTTATGGACGGTGGGTGGGTGTTGCCGCCGTCATCGCCAATCTCTGAGCTCTGTGCGGGCGTCAAGTTGACCCACATCCAATTCCACCAGAGTGGCACTCATGTGGGCTTAAGCCGCGATTTTATGGCCAAATAAAAACCCACGCCCAGCCCCAGCTGCTTTACGTACCATTTTCCTCAATGAAGGCGCGTTGACTCCGCAAAACGAGTGACCTGCAAATGGAGTAAAGAAAAGAATTTATTATGAGAAATGCAAAATAGAAAACATATTTAAATATTGCAATGATAGTTTATTTACTTATATAATGCTAAATAATTGGCTCATGTGAATTGAAGTGATTTGATTTTAAATAAATTTAAATTTTAAGGCTACCCTGGAAAATAATGTCTTAAAAATATGATTATTATAAACATATAATTTAAAAAATAAATAATATTGTAGAGCTATTTTTTTTAACAATTAAATAGTTAAATAACTATATAAGTAGAAAACGCCTATTTCTTAGTCTAAACTCTGAAATTATTGTAAAATACCCTTTACAAAAATTTGTAGATATAACAACAAAAATTTTAATTATATATGATATATGATAAACACGATGAAATATTTTTTTTACATAATTAAATAAAATACAATAATAAATAAAATACAGGTTTTAAGTCTGAAGTAGGAAAATATAAAGATAATTATAAACAGTCTTAAAAATTTTAAATCAAAAGTAATCACGGATGACTTTATTTTATTCGCTCCAATAACTATTCCAGAAATAATTTTAGACATTCCCATTTGCATTTTATATTTTCTATATCAGCCAAACAATTTTCTTAACAACATTTTTCACTTAGAAAAATACATTCAACAATTTTCTCGAACAAAAATATTGCATAATCCAACTATTCGAAAAGAAGAGCTAATAAAAATATATTACAGACAGACTTGGATTTGGGTTTATGCTCCGATATGACGTCTCGACATATACACAGAGACTTTTCCTCCTCCAGAGAGTCTTAGTCGATTGCTTGACAATGTTGTTATTCCCCCAGCTCGGAGGCAAAGACAAATTTATGTGTAAGCATAATGATACGTGTATCATAATCATAAACACACATATTAATTTGGACTGCGCTCCAAAAATAAGCGACGCCGTCGTTCGTCGCTCGTCGTTCGTCGCTCGTCGCACATGGATGCAACTTGACAGACTGGGCGAGGGGGGAGTAGCTGATGATCAGCTGCGGGGGAGGCGGCCTCTATGGCGCTGTGGCTCTATGGCGATGTCATGCATGCGATACGGAAAACCGCATAAATCAGTTGACGCATAAATTTTCATTTTACATAAATTTTGGAATCGAAATAAGCGCAATGTGAACAAAATTATGGCAGCAAATCGCAAGACGGCTTTCAACATGATTTGTTTATTTTATTTTAATATTCAGCAAACATTGTTGTTGCTGTCCTGCTTGTTGCTGCCGAAAGCGTGGAGCAACATGACAGGCAATTAATTTAATAAGATATGCCCGCTGGCTGAGTCT